GCAGTTTATGAACTCCCATGGGATTATTCATCAAACATCTTGTCCGTACACATCCCAACAAAATGGGGTAGCTGAAAGAAAGAATAGACATCTTATTGAAACTGCTCGTACCCATTCATACAATCTCATGTTCCGCTGCGTTTTTGGGGGATGCAGTTCTTACATCTTTTATCTTATTAATTGTATGCCATCTTCAGCTATCCAAAATCAAGTTTCATTCTCTGTCCTGTTTCCCCACTTACCTTTGTTCTCTCTTCCACCCCGTGTCTTTGGGAATACGTGCTTTGTTCATGACCTTACTCCAGGAAAAGATAAGTTAGCTCCTCGTGCTATTAAGTGCATATTTCTGGGTTACTCAAGAACGCAAAAGGGATATCGATGTTATTCTCCTGACCTTCCACGATTTCTTATGTCTGCTGATGTTACCTTCTTTGAAACCCAATCATACTTCACAGGTCCAGTTAATCACTTAGATATTTCTGAGGTGCTACCAGTTCCTTCTTTTGGAGATTCAGTCCCTATCTCCCATTCATCTTCCTCCATAGCTCCACCACCTACAGTTCCGGTTGCAGCTCCACCACCTATAGCTCCAGTGCCATCACCGAGTCCAGTACCACTACCTACTCCAGTTCCACCAACTATAGCTCCAGTGCCACCACCTAGTCTAGTTCAACCTTCTACAGCTCCACCACTCCTGACTTATCATTGTCGTCCGCGCCCAGCATCAGGCCCAGCTGATTCACGTCCTACGCCTTACCCTGCTAATACTGCGGGCTTGTCTCCTCTTAATCAACCGATTGCACTACGAAAAGGTATACGGTCCACACTTAATCCTAATCCTCATTATGTCGGTTTAAGTTACCATCGTCTGTCATCATTCCATTGTGCATTTGTGTCATCTTTGTCTCTGTTTCCATCCCTAAGTCTACATGTGAAGCACTGTCTCACCCCGGATGGCGACAAGCTATGATTGACGTGATGTCTGCTTTACATACGAGTATACTTGGGAGCTTGTTCCTCTTCCTTCGGGTAAATCGACTGTTGGTTGTCGTTGGGTGTATGCAGTCAAAGTTGGTCCAGATGGCCAGGTTGATCGAGTTAAGGCTCGTCTTGTTGCCAAAGGGTATACTCAGATATTTGGACTCGATTACAGTGATACTTTCTCTCCCGTGGCTAAAATTGCATCAGTCCGTCTTTTTCTATCCATGGCTGCTGTTCGCCATTGGCCTCTCTATCAGTTGGACATTAAGAATGCTTTTCTTCACGGTGACCTTGAGGATGAGGTTTATATGGAGCAACCACCTGGTTTTGTTGCTCAGGGGGAATCTAGTGGCGTTGTATGTCGGTTGCGCCGGTCCCTCTATGGTCCAATGCAGTCTCCTCGAGCCTGGTTTGGTAAGTTCAGCACAGTTATTCAGGAGTTTGGCATGACTCGTAGTGAAGCTGATCACTCTGTATTTTATCGACATTCTGCTTCAAATCTCTGTATTTATCTGGTCGTTTATGTTGACGATATTGTTATTACCGGCAATGATCAGGATGGTATTAGTAAGATGAAGCAACATTTCCTTCAGCACTTTCAGACTGAGGATCTGGGCAGATTAAAGTATTTTCTGGGTATTGAGGTCGCTCAGTCTAGCTCGGGTATTGTGATCTCACAACGGAAGTATGCTCTAGATATTCTTGAGGAGACACGAATGATAGGTTGTAGACCTGTTGACACTCCGATGGATCCGATTCTAAACTTCTGCCAGGACAGGGGGAGCGTCTTAGCGATCCTGCAAGATATAGGCGATTGGTTGGTAAATTAAATTACCTCACAGTGACTAGACCTGACATTTCCTTTCCTGTGAGTGTTGTGAGTCAGTTTATGGATTCTCCTTGTGATAGTCATTGGGTGCAGTTGTCTGCATTCTTCGGTATATAAAATCAGCTCCAGGCAAAGGCTTATTGTTTGAGGATCGAGGCCATGAGCAGATCGTTGGATACTCAGATGCTGATGGGCAGGATCACCTTCTGATAGACGTTCTACGTCTGGATATTGTGTCTTAGTAGGAGGAAATTTGGTGTCTTGTAAGAGCAAGAAACAGAATGTGGTTGCTCGGTCTAGTGCAGAAGCAGAATATCGAGCAATGGCTATGGCGACATGTGAGCTAATTTGGATCAAACAGTTGCTCAAGGAGTTGAAATTTGGTGAGATTAGTCGGATGGGACTTCTGTGTGATAATCAAGCTGCTCTTCATATTGCGTCAAATTCAGTGTTCCATGAGAGAACTAAACACATTGAGATTGACTGTCACTTTGTCAGAGAAAAGATACTCTCGGGAGATATTGCTACAAAGTTTGTGAAGTCAAATGATCAGCTTGCAGATATTTTCACCAAGTCCCTCACTGGTCCTCGTATTAACTACATATGTAACAAGCTCGGTACATATGATTTATATGCACCAGCTTGAGGGGGAGTGTTAGAATAGTTATGTAAATAGGAGTAAATAACCCTAATTCCATATGTATTAGGAGTAGTACATATTATGTATATATATATATATAGGGCTCATTGTATTGTGTTTAACATATGTCAATAATATCAACAATATTTTTTCCCGTGCTTTCTCACAAATACTTGATCGAGCAAACACATTTTGCATTCTACTCTGCACAACTAAGGTGGCCTTTAGTCTTTACCCAAAAAACTGAAAGTATATCTAGTGCAAACAACAACAACAACAACAACTACCCAGTAAAATCTCACATAGTGGGGTCTGGGAAGGGTAATGTGTACGCAGACCTTACCCCTGCCCCGATAGGGACAGAGAGGCTGTTTCCGATAGACCCTCGGCTCAGGAAGACCAAAAAGTATATCTAGTGCATGATGGATAAAAATCAAAGGTGTAAGTATGAGGGATCTTGCTCAAGTTTCTGCTTGTAAGTGAACTGTATTTTTGTAGTTACCAGGTTCTTATTGTAGCCATCCAATCAATGCAAATGAAATGTGTGCACGCGTATTCTTACTTGGTAGGTATTACATCCCAGTATGACAGTATCACAGTTCTCCTACCCTTGTCCTCGTGCCAACTACTGTAGCTGTGATTTGCATCTCTGATTTCATAAAACAGAAAATACAAAAAAACAAAGTTTATTACTTTTGATTGTTTATATAGTCTAGGTTCTAGTTAACTTTCTAAGTTTTCTCTAATATGAAAGATAACAATGATGAGCTGAGAATGCAACCATACAGCTTTTGAGGGGACCTATTCTAGGTGACATTAGTAAAGGGGTAGTGTCTGTTCATTCTTTGAGCTATTTGAAGGTACTAACTTGTATGCCTTGTTTGTATCCTATGATGATATATTTGCCTGGTTGTGTGCATCGATGCTTCTATGTCCTTTCTATACCTGTCGAATTTGTGTACAAATACCTAGTTTGTTTAGAGGAAAAACCGGATTAAGTAAGAATAAAGCAACACTTTGACATCTTTTAAACTAAGGAAGGAAATTTTTTTGTTCAAAGATCTTGTCTGAATCTCAAAAGCATCCAATTGAAGATATTATGTTCATTCTAAGGAAAGTGGCATCAGCCATCAGCCATCAGCCATCAGCCATAGGAAGTTATTCTGTCAGAAGTTTTATCATGGCCTTCGATTAACAACATATATATCCACGCGTACCATGTTGGGTAATGTGAAATGGTACGGTGAGACAGAAGGAGACTAAATATAATATCAGTAAAAGTCAAGCAAAAAAGAAAGACATATTCTGTTGTCCGGTTTGTCTTTGAACTGAATAACTTGATTTTGAGGATTCACTAGGAAAGTTCCTACTTCTGTATTAACACTGCCGCTGTCATATTGGCTCTGTTGTTCCTGTGGACGTCTATGAGTTTCTGGAAGTCCATTCTATAAACATGATAACCGGATCCTCTTACCCTTTAAAACTACAAGAAAATAGAAACATATGTACAAGGAACCATACAAGGCAGTTGGCTAGATTTACATAGACCTGGTTGACTGGAGGAAATAGAGAATAATGAGATTGCTGTGAATATGATAAAGAAATCTTTGAGCGAAGAAGAGCGGGAATAAGCTCCCATTTAACTAGGCAGGGTCTGTTGGATGAGGGCAAATAAGACAGAATTGTGATTTCGATAAAAGCTTACAGATAGTGTACACTTATGGAAATTAGAATAAGTTGACCAGGGGAATTTACACGATGAGTCCTTCAAATGGTCTTGGTTGGTCCATGACTCTGTGGTCAACCAATACGAATACAAGAATGCATATGGCCTTGATTGGTCCACGAGTCTATGGTCAACCAATACAAATACAGGAATGAGCCCTCAAATGCTCTTGATTGATACATGAGTCTATGGATCAACCAAGGCAAAGAAAGGGACACTCTATGTGATAACAACAAAGTAGTGTGATTCTATAAAGTTAGAAAATAAGCTAAAAATATAAGTACATAATAACACAAGCTATTAGCTAATTTAGATGACGGAAAAAAACTCAAATACATCATCGAACTTAACGAAATGGCCTATCTATGCCACTGACATTACCATTTTGGGACACATATACCATTACCTGTTAACGAAACCCTACTACTATCAGATTTTGTCACCTGCCATTATGTAAATCCGTCATTACTTACCCCCCCCCCCCCCTCCCTTTTACGGTTGACATCTGTAAGTCGTTTCGTTAAGTTTAATGGCATACTTTATTTTTCCAAGCAACCACCACATCCCAATCAATGTTAACATTCTAAATTTTCTCCATTGAATCGTTCTTTCTTTTCTTCTGTTTCTCTATTGAATAGCTCGATTTTTGTTATTCCTGAATCTCAAATCAAATGTCATATGCTTCTTCCTAGGAGATTATCTTTCAAATATAAGCCTTTTATTTTGGTGAGTTTTTTGTGCAATATGTCCTTGATTATTGCACTTTCTTTGTTGGTAATCACCAATATTCGTACTTTTTGGTTGTCTTATTCGATTTCTGCAGGCATGTATGTAATTTCTCTGTTTTGCTCATGCAAATTGGGAAATTTATACCCAGGTGCAAGTTTGTGAGAAGTACTGCAGTGTTATTTGTTCTTTGGATAGATATTTGAGCTAGAATCGATGAATGATTTTACATAATACGTAGAAGATCCCAAAATATGAGAAAATTGGGTGTTACGTGAAGTGATACTTGTAACAATTCGATTACGAGAGAATCAAGAAATACAATGATTTTTATGCGTAAATAAAAGTTCACGAGAGTCGAAACTTTTGATGTAAAAGGGCGACCACAACTATGATAGTGAGTCGACTAGCTTTCACCAGGTAGAAAGTTAGTCCTTTTTCTCTCTATTTTTACCAGTTTTTAAGTTGTCAATATTGTGATGTACCATTTCTGTTTTTCAGGTATTTAGTTCACTCACAAGAGCAACATTTGCACTCAATGTGATATTTGAAAGCATTGAAAAGAAGCTATGCCATGTGTGTGCTATCAATTGCAATTTTTCACTTTGCAATGGTTATGAATTTGCTCCTAAGGTTAACTGATCTTTCTTATTGTTTCTTGTAATGCATTTTTTTTAAACAATGAAAAGTTCCTTCTTATAATACTTCTTATATTTGCAGCTTGAAGATGTGGGATTATCTTTTTTGAGAAATCCCATTGACATCATAGTAGTGAGCAGTATACCTTTACTGATCCTTCATTGTGGAGTTTGAACAACTTCTTGATAGATGCTACACATCTCTGCTTGTTCACTTCCACTCATTGTAGAAATCTACAGGGTGAGTCATCCATCCTTGAGTTATATGCATTTACATTTGCAGCAAGTGTGAGGAAATTTGTGCACCTCAAGTACAAGAGTTCCGCTGTATAAAACACAAAAACTCAGGGAGCAGGTAACGCTGACTTTTTTATACACAACCTTGTAGTTTCTAAACTTTGTGGTCACATTAGGCGCTTTGTGTTATGCTGGTTTTGCAAGTGGAGTGACCACTTCTAATAATTTGCAACTTGAAACAGTACCTCCAAAAGATCATGTTTTTCACAGTTTAAATATTTTACATTTACTCTGTAATTCCTCTATACCTAAAAATATAGACAATTTCCTGCAGCTCTTGAACTCAATGAATTAATGGATTCACAATAGAAGCTTGATGGTTGACTAGATAGTTGCATATTCTATGTAAAACAAGATAGTTTCACACTATTCAATCATCACTATTCACACTTTTGGCTCATTGTGATAAGATTCTATTATTAGTCCAATGTTGTTCGTATAATATTTTTGATAACTAGCCAAACCATTGATCTGATATATTTTTCAAGTACGTATTATTGAGTAGAGAAAGGAGTGCTCATATTTATCAAGTATATATTGTGATATTGAATGATTACACAAAAATCATGTAAAACCCCCGGCTCTGCCAATTACGAGATGGTAACTTATCCTATCTGGTTCATCTTTATCAATCGTGTTATCTGATATCTTTTTTTATTTTAGCCCTGCTCGCTCTGGAACTTGTTCTCGTCAAGTACTCTTGCTTAATTTTACGTTTCTACAGGTGAAGATTGCTTGCTTTCCCTCTTTCCTTATTTAGTATTTAGTATTCAAAAAAGGCATAAAAGATATTTGATGTTCCTTGCACAAACTTAAAAAAATAGTAGTTCGATGGTCCTTGTAGGGAGCATCTCCATTTGTCTCGCTTTGATGTCTTAATACCAATTTCAATGAAATTTTTCTTATTTTACTTGTTGGATACGCAGTGCAGTCTGCCGGCGACAGGGTATTTAAGGCGGTGAGTGTTGAGCTAGACGTAGGCGCGGAAGTGAGAAGCCTAGCCAGAAGTTTTTTGTTTGATGGGTTCATAGCATGACTTAAAGACATTGAATGAAAATATTACTACCCGCCAGGAAATCCAGCCTAAGACACGAGTAACAATGGTGATTGACATCATAAGGAAGATTTTGATTAGTGTGGCACAAGCCAAACATGGGAAATTACATGCATTTCTACTGGCTCGCGTTATCAACGTGATGGGAAAAATTGCAACTATCTAAAGCTTTTTTGAATTTTGTTCATTACTCGGCTTACTCCACCGGAAGACATCTATGGTTTGATTTGGTGTCTTTGATATCCAATTAAGTGAAATCACTACCAATGTGGTAGATGTATTCATGTGTAGCTGTTGGACTAGGTTCCAGTTTATGAAACTATGTAACACGTCATTACTAATGGGGTTAGATCTCTCGATCTGTTGGAAGGCAAATGTAGTGATTCAATTCAAGCATGGTGTTTTGGATGAGAAAGACACGTATGAGCACCACATGGAGATGTTTGCAATTTTACTTCATTGTGCTAAATCATATAAATATAGTTCAGTTGAATGAATGGAATTCTCATTCATTCATATGAATTTTAGAGCCTATGTTTGACGAGTTAATGTTCCTTTTGAGCCCGTGCACACCACGGGCATCGATATCTAGTTAATTATAAATTTTAATATCTGTTGGCTTGGGGTGGTCATTGTTTCAACCTTTGAGAAGAGACCCCTCTTTTCTATTATTTCCTATGAAAGATTTTATTAATATTTTGGCAACATGTAATAGGTTATTTGTGTTAACCATAGTTGTGATGACTCAAATGGTTATCTTATGATTTAAAATCAAAATCTGTGTTTCGAGGTCTTTAAAACCTCATTTTATCCCTCCTTGATTTGCCTGCACAGTCCGGGCGTATTTCCGAAAAGATTTTGTGTTGAAAGTTGATAAAAATAGGGATTTTTTATTAAAAACTTTAATTGAGTTGACTTCGGTCAACATTTTTTATAAACGGACTCGGATTCTTATTTTGACAGTCTTGATGAGTCCGTATCGAAATATGGGACCTAGGCGTGTGCCCGGAATCGAATTCGGAGGTCCCTAGCCCGAGTTATGAATTTTTTTTAAAATTGAAATCTGAAAAAAAAATTATTGGTTTTTAAGAAAAGTTTTGATGTTTGATCTTGTTGGTATCGGGTCCATATTTTGATTCCGGAGCCCGGTACAAGTTCAATATAATATTTAAGACTTCTCTGTGAAATTTGATGAAAAACGGAATTGGTTTGACGTGATTCGGACGTCCAGTTGAGAAATAAAAATTTCAAAGTGTTCTTGAGAATTTCATTTGATTTGGTGCTTAATTCGTAGTTTTAGGTGTTATTTTTGCGATTTGATCACGTGAACAAGTTTGTATGATGTTTCAAGACTTGTGTGCATGTTTTGCTTGGAGCCCTGAGGGCTCGGGTGAGTTCCGGATAGGCTACAGAGTGAATGGAACTTAGGAATTCTTGCAGGTGTGCTACAGGTCTGCAAACTTCGCAATTGCGAGGTCCGAATCGCAACTGCGAGCCTTGCAAATGCAAAGAACCCATCGCATTTGCGAGCAGTTGGGCTGAGGGGTGGACTTTGCATTTGCGAAGTATTGGTCGCATTTGCGATCATCTCAGGCCGCATTTGCGAAGACAGCAGGGCCGGGGAACACTTCGCATTAGCGAAGCATTTCTCGCAATTGGGACATCTGCAGCTGCCACATCTGCCGCTGTGTTAAACCTAACTAAGACGGAATTTCTGCTCATTTCTCAAAATTTTCAAAACAAGAAACCCTCTAGGTGATTTTCCAAAGACCATTTCTTCCCCCAAATCATAGGTAAGTGATTCTTAACTAGTTTCTTTCAATCTTTCACTTCATTTTACAAGATTTCAACCTAGAATCTAAGGTTTTTCATGGTGGAATTGGGGAGTTTTGGGTAGAAACTAGGAATTTAATAAATTTGGGATTTAGACCTCAAATTGAGGTCGGATTCCAAAACCAATTTTATATCTGGGCTCGGGGGTGAATGGGTAATCGAGTTTTTGTCCGAATTTCGAACTTGGACCAAGCGGGCCCTAGTGTTGACTTTTTGATAATGGCCTAATTGAATTCTTATCGATCATGGGTGATTCCTAAGGCTTATTTTAAAACATTTGGTTGGTAATTTGCTAGATATTGTTGGTTCGGAGGCGTGTTTGAAAGGAAAAGCTGCAATTGAGCTTTGAGTGGCCTTTGGAGTGAGGTAAGTGTTGTGTCTAACCTTGACTTGAGAGAATTAGGAACCCTCGAACTTTGTGTTATGTGAATTCCATGTGAGCGGTGTATATGAAAGGTGACGAGTGCTTTTACGCCGCCGAATTATCTGTTTTCCCTGATTTATCATTTTTCCTTAATTGTTTTTCCTCCTATATTAATTGTTACATGCTCTAAATGCTTTCCATGCTTAATTGCTACGTGTTAATCAATGATTTCTTTTGTTAATCATGTTAGCTCTTTTCATAGTTTTCTAATCCCTGCTATTTGCTTAATTTGACTTGTTTGTACCTTCTAAATGTAAATTGCTGGTTTGGTTTCGCTGTGTAGTATTATTTGTGTAGATTCTATGTTGAACAAGGTTCCTTTTCTTGGTTCAGTTTGGTATTTATCTATCGTAAAGGCCTTGTGATTTAGTCTGTTGATTTGACTGTGTATATTGACTGTTTGGTACTGATGTGGTGGGATCGGGTTGCACACTGCAGCAGGTGTAATAAGGGAGAATTAATGGTGGAATAAGGGTGAATATGTATATACGGTAGGATGGGGTTGCACGCCGCAACAGGTGGAATAAGGGTGGACTGATATGGCGAAATAAGGGTAAATTACGATATTGATATTGATATATGGTGGGATCGGGTTGCGCGCCGCAACAACCAACATGTTTCATTTTCTTGAGCTGCGTTTTTTTCCGGTACTTTTATTTGAGCTGGTAAAGATTGGTAATTTTGGACGACACTGGTTTATTTTTGAGGCAGTGGTAATCATTTCCCGTTGGCTGTTTCATTCTGTACTGTATCAATTATTTTGTCATTATTATAGGCTGCGTACAGGTTCCAGCGTAGGTGACTCGCCTTAGCCTCTTCACTACTTCGTCGAGGTTAGGCTCGACACTTACCAGTATATGGGGTCGGTTGTATTGATACTTCACTCTGCACACTGTGCAAATTTTGGAGACGGTCCCGGCAGCGGCTACTAGAGAGCTCGGATCGGACATTCGCGGAGACTTGAGGTACAACTGTTCAGCGCCCGCAGCACCTGGAGTCCCCATCCTCTGTCTATTTAGCTGTGTACTTTTATCCGAACAGCTTGTTATTTATTTCAGACCCTTATGTGTATTACTCTAGTAGTTCGTGCACTCGTGATACAAGGTTTAGAGAATTGTAATAAATATTTAGCTAGTTCCGCTTCCGCATTGTTACTTTAAACTTATTCAGTTATCTCAGTTCTTCTTTAATATCTAATTTAAACTATTAAAAGAAGTAGATTGTTCTAATGTTGGCTTGCCTAGCAAGTTTAATGTTAGGCGCCATCACGGTCCCGATGGTGGGAAATCCGGATCGTGACAAGTTGGTATCAGAGCACTAGGTTACATAGGTCTCACGAGTCACGATCAAACTTAGTAGAGTCTGGCAGATCGATATGGTGACGTTTGTACTTATCTTCCGGAGGCTATGGAGTTAAGAATAGTTTAACTTCTATTCTTCTCTTTTGTGCGATTTTATTCTATCATTGCTGATTGAACTCTTCTGTTATGTTCTCTCGTAGATGGCGAGGATGCGTATCGCATCTTTAGCTGAGCAACAACCAGATTCCCCAGCAGCAGCTCCTACGAGGGGCAGGGGTCGAGTCCGAGGTCGTGCTAGAGGACGAGGCAGGGGCAGAGCTCAGCCCCGAGCTCGAGCAACAGCACCAGCGGTGGAGCCTTAGGTAGAGTTTGATGAGGAGGTTCCAGCCAGACTGTGCCTGTCGGACCAGCTCAGGTCCCGGAGGGTTTCATCGC